CACCCATTTATCCATCCACCCATCTGTCCACCCCCTCATTTGGCAATATTGTTGCATACCTTCGGCAGGCTAGGCAGTGAGCTGTGCGTACTCAAGCCGTCTCTGAGCCCAGATAACATGTTGGGGTGGCATTTGGGGTGTGCGAGGGCGTTGGCCTTAGGACAAGGCAGAGGTGGAACTCTCTGTACTTCAATAAGGAGCCTGTGGCCTAGAGATTTAGGGCGTCCACCCAGGTTCACAGAGGTAGTTGAAGGAAGAGCTGGAACCAGTGTGAGAGCAACGCATCGGGCACAGATACTGAGGCGGTGGCTCTCTGCAGGGTGTCTGTCCTCCGGGCAGGCTCTGGCTTCCTGCATGCATCTCTGAGAGCTGTGTCCACCTGTGCTGAAAAGTGAGCACACTCCTGTGCCCGGTAACCTTCAAAGGGCACTCACTCAATGTCCCCTTTTAGCAGGAAAGGAATTGATGGTGCTTTCCAGCCAAAGGTAAAGATTTAGTCTGTGACATGAAACCGAACACAGCCGGTAAGTGGCTTTCTCCAAGGTCAGCTAGATGTGAAGGGGAAGGGGTGTGACTTATTGATCCCTTCCGGCCAGTGAGGATGTGAACCCCCGTACCTTCCCACAGTACCCAGGCTCATCGCAGTTGTCCCAAGGGCCACGCATTGACGGCCACCGATAACGCTCAAGCATCCGTGAGTTCTCCCCAATAGCAACACAGCAGATTTAGGTGGACTCTGAATTTAGGAAAATGCTTTTGCAATCACACGAAACTCTCGAGATTATAGATTTGGGCCAGTTCAAAGACTGGTCCGTTCAGCCTCCCAGATTTCAGTGTTGACCGCCGAGTGTTCGTTCTGGGAGACCCGTTGTGGGCAGCATGGTGGGACGCGAAGCCGAGCGGACGTTACTTGTCAATAAAAGAAGATGCGTAGCACTTCAGTCTGCCGGTCTGTACAGGACAACGCTGTCACTTCCTAGAGCCACTGCAGAGAGTCCCCTCTGCTCGAGGGAAAGTTTCCACAAAGGGCATCGTTTCGTGGCATTTTCCGAGTTGACGAACGTCACCGTGCAATACTAGTCTGCCCCTCAGGAGCCTGGTAGCCAACGTGCTTACATCACTGTTGGGATTTTTTTGTTTTTTTTCAGGAATGCAGAGACACCGTTCCTGCTGTGAGTTGACGAACGTCACCGTGCAATGCTAGTCTGCCCCTCAGGAGCCTGGTAACCAACGTGCTTACATCACTCTTGGGATTTTTTTTTTTTTCAGGAATGCAGAGACACCGTTCCTGCTGGTCCTGTCATACCTTCAAGTGCACACGGCCCTCTTCTCCTCCAAGGACTTTGCCAAGAAAAGCAAACACCACGCGTACGGGGACGCTGTGGAAGAGATGGACTGGAGTGTCGGTATGTCGGTCCGTGTCTCCCGTGTGTACCTAAACCGTGGGGCTGATCTGTGCATCTCCACCCTCGTTCCTTCCGATGCCTTTAGAGGCAGCAAAGATTCTTTTTTTCCCCAAAAAAAAGTCACGCAACACGCACGGATTCCGGCAGCGAAACAGCACGTGCGGAGCTCCCTGAGCCCTGGGGACGTCTGTGTCCATGGGCTGGAGGAAGAGGGAGAGGCCCGCGCTCTGGTTCCCGTCACCGCGTGTTCCGTTAACAGTTACATACGAAGCTCGCCTCGTCCTTGGCGGAGTTAGGGAAGCGCCGGGTTTGGGAGACGGGCCTCCCGCAGCCCGTGTACCCGTCGCCGCCACGACCCGCCACGGTCCCTTCTTCCAGAGCGTGCGCCCTTCCTGCGGCGTCGCCGGCGGTGGTGGCAGAGAGCCCCTGTCTTCCATGTCCCTTCCCCTTCTTCCTAAGCGAATGAGCCCGTTTCTGAGAGACGGGGCGTTCCGCAGAGGGCTGGGAAGGCTTTCCGTCGAGGCCGTGTTTGAAAAGCACACCCTGCACGCGTGCAGGAGGAGTCGTGACCCTGCGCCTTTCACGTCCGCGTGAGAAGTCGTGACCCTGCGTTCTTGGCCCCTTGTGCGTGGCTCGGCGGCCTGGGGTGCAGGCAGCGTCGGGAAACGAGGCTCAGTGCGGAGCAGCGGGCTCGGGCCCGCTCGTTCAGGTCCCGTCTTCTCCGGGGACGAGGGCGTGTGTCGACCCTGCTCGGTCCCTGGGCACTAAACTGTCCACATGCCACCACTCGGCCGGGTGGCCGGAGATCTCCGTGCACAGGGCTTCCTCTCCTCCCTCGCCCCTCTCTCGTTTTTCCTTCCTTTTCCGGACACTTTTTAGCTGTTTAATCTCGGCGTCGTGGAAATGCTTGAACATCGCCGCCTCGCGCGTGGCGCCGTTTCTGTCGCTGTGTCGTAAGCGGCGCATCGAGCGTGATGACGGGGTCGCCTGCCGTGGCGAATTCGAGTTTGTCTCTGTTTCGTCTCCCGTCGCTTGGTTTAAATCTCGAAGGACACTCCGTCCTCCGACGCGAGAAGACAGGACCCTCGGTCCAGCCTCTCGGTCTTTCTTTCACGAACGTCGTGAACGTGTCGACTTTCTAGGTCTCCGGTCTGTCGTCTTTCCCCGAAGAATTCAGATGAGGCGGGTTCTAAGCTGTGGTTTTTCCCTTTAATGCTCTGTGATCCTACAAAATAACAGAGGTGGATACAAATAATGAATGTTGGCATAAACCAAACCCAGAACATTCCCCATGCTAAGATTTATAAGAAGAATCCATTAATTTTAACATTTTCACGTATACCGATGCGAGCCTGCCCCCTCTCATTTCCCATGAAAGTGTCGCATGACACTCAATTTACATTTTTCACTCCTTAGCAGTCTGAATCAGTAGAATATTTTGCAGTGTGAATCTGTGGAATATTTTATCTCTTTGATGAGTGTGATAATATAATGTAACAACAAGTTTCTTAGACAACTCTTAAGATGTTTGTTGCCCAGCAAGGAATCCCGTGCTGCGATACTCACACGTATTGATTAATTTTTATTTAATTATGGCACTTATGTCTACTGTGACTCATTGAAAGTCTAACTTTCAATGTTGCTTTTTTTTTTTTTTTTAACTACTTGTCCTTCTGGAATAGAATAAAGACCATACTTCAGTCTTTGAGGTCTGCATTAGACCCTGATATAATATTAATAGATGACTGGTTTTTTTCCTGAAAAATAAAATTCTTCCCCTAAGCCATTCCATTAATTTGCCGGGCTGTTTCTCTGTTCTCTTGCAAATTCAGTACATCTGAACGTTTTGAAGAACATGCCTTCTTTCCAAGAAGAGCCTTTTATGATCACGCAGAAGCAGAGGGTAGCTTTCTGAATGATTCCATAACGAAATAAAATGGGGATGTTTGCTTAAAAAGTCGAGCCCCCTTTGCAAGAAGCAGTTAACGCAGAGGGCGTATCTATCTCTCTGTCCTTGGAAGCATTTTCCTTCACAAATGTTGAAGCAGCCTTATTATGTGGAGCACAGCTCCGCGGACCTGTGGAGACAGATTCATAACAAAGCGCCTGTACGGCTTAAGTGTCCGCCACGGCCAGCTCCGCCCCCGTGCTTCTGCGGTTCCCGCCACAGTCTCAGCTGCGTGACTGTGTGTCTCGTGCTGTCGTGCTGCCCGAGGAAGGACTGGCCACACAGGTGTGGCGTGACGGCTGTGGAAAGGACACTCTTACCCCGTGTTACAGACGTGTAAGCCCAGGCACGCAGAACCGAAGGAGCTTGTCCCAAGCAGCTCTCACAGCTGGCGAGTGGAGAAACAGAATTCAGATCCAGGCCGATGCTGGATCTTGCCTTCCTTCCTTCCTTCCTTCCTTCCTTCCTTCCTTCCTTCCCTCCCTCCTTCCTTCCTTCCTTCCTTCCTTCCTTCCTTC